ATAACACTCTCTAGGACAAATTCAATTTTTATGGCATTCAAGCTTTTAAAATGTCTGTTGTCATGAAATATAATCCAGAAAAGCTGGAAAGATGACTTTTTAGGATGCAACTTTACTGCTAAGTCCTCAAGAAAGGACCAGCACATGTTAGTAAACATCATGGTTCTGGCACTGTCCATCCATGATTTTAATTGGTGTCTCCAGGCACCACTACATTAACAGCAAACAGCAGCTCTAAGAATACTGAAAAACAGTCTGAATTTGGAAATCCTGGCTATCAGTTTGAAAGGACATTTTGGCCTAAATCTCGGGGCAGATTTCTTTTTCCACAGCAAATTATTTAGCCCCAAATGCAGTTTTCTAGATTAAAACACAAAATTGAACTAGCTCTACCTTTACACTGCTATCAGTAACAAAGGAAGGATGTTAACTGTAGGAGACAACTGAAATCTCTACAGAAGTTGTAAGATTAAAAGATGCATCTACAAACCAGCGTCAAAAACATGGAGGCAACTAAAAACCCTATTAGTGGTGACTCTCAAAATCTACAAACTTCACAATTGAAGGAAGGAAGGGAGGGAGGTAGGAAGGAAGGAAGGAAGGAAAGAAAAGAAGGAAGGAAGAGAGAGAGGGAGGGAGGGAAGTAGGAAGGAAGAGAAAAAGGAAGAGAAGGAAGAAGAGGCTAACTTAGGCAGATCTATTTTCGATGCAATTGGTCATTTCCATTTGAGGATTGCTTGGCCTCTTTATTAGCCATGCATCTAAAAAGTGGGAAAGTCAAAAGAAATATAGAAGCACTAAGAGATTTTCTACAAATACAAAAAAATAACATGTTATGCAGATCTGTGTGATATTAACTCACAGAGATTCTAATTACTAAAGTAGTGCTAGGCCCTTTGATAAAAATATCTTTTCTAAGTATCACCTTTAACACCTAATAAATCCCGAGCATAAGAAGTACTTTAGTACATGAGAACACATAACCTTTTCCTTTTGACATGAGGGAAGTCTTCACTCAGCAAATTTCTTTTTCTACTGCACCAGAATTGCCACTCTTCAGTTGCCACAAAGAAGAATCAGGTTTGCCATTCTAACATAGGTCAGTGTCCAAATCTATCCAAAATTCCTCTTGAAGAAAGTCAGTAGCAGACATCAACATGAATTAAACTTCTCTATCGGATATTTAGGCCATAGTGTAACAGTATTCTTTAGCCCACATAAAAACATATATATATATCTCCAGTTAAGATGCAAAAGTCTGAAGAAGAATGAGATTTTGATGCGTCTCCACATTTCATGTTGCTGAGCATTAATACGGAAATATAGCATCTGTATACACAGCAAGCTCAATGAATGGCCTGAAAACTGCATACAGTCAATCATTTCTGTTATTCTTTTTTCCCACTTTTCCTCAGCCAGTTTCATTTGTTAATCCAACTGTGGCATTGCAGGACAAGATGGACAGACTTTAGAACATCAGTTGTAAATAGCCTCGAGGACAACGGATTGCAATCTGGATGTTGAGCACTGAGCTTCAGTCAATCCTAAAATGAGTCATATATGTGTTTTGCAGAGCTGATGCGAGCTAATTTCTTTCTTTTTACTTTTTTCTCCCAACATTCTCGTATCACCTCTTCACAAAATCTATGGAAGTTTAAAAAAAAAAAAATCTATATTGTCCAGTAAACACTTTATTTGCCTTTTTAAAACTTTTATCTTTTGAAACACTGAAAAGGTAACATTTAAATTTTAGCATTTGAGAAAAAAATCAGTCTTAGCCTGACAAGTTCTCAAGAGTGAAAGTGTGAAAATTGTACCTACAGATCTGTGTCCCACATGTCATTCCCCACAAGCAAATACTGAGTTTACTTCACAACAATCCATCTCTAGTTTTCAGATGCAGACAACAGAATGACTTTGGTTCATAGGTGACAGTTGATGTTTTCACAGAGTTGCAAAGCTGAAAATCCCAGACCTCTCCCCAGTCCTCTCAACCGTGCAACTTTCTCTAGGCAGTTTAATTTATATGGATTCCCTAAAATGTGTGGACAATTAGGGAATTAAAAAACAGTGTTTGGAGGAAAGGAATCCACGTCCCTCACAGCAGGCTGATTTTTTTTTCCAGTCAGCTACTCCAGCTGCACATCTGTTATCATGCATTTCATGTCAAACCTGTTCTCAGAACCATCAGCACAGAAGGACGTGACAGACTCAAGTGGGTGAAATGAATAAGGAGTGACATTTGGGACATTAATAACGCTAGCTGGAGAGATTAATCATGGACTCTGACCCCTGCTACTCTATCCAGTGACTGTTTCCATGCCTAGAAGTGGAACTAATGCTTTTGCAACTCTGATAGACAGAAGAAGAGCTGCAGGATCATAGCGATATGTACCTGAAGGCTTGTTTACCTAAAGGCTTCTTCATTTCCTGTCACATTTTGATTCAGTAAAATACTCCACTCCTCCCTCCAGGCTCTCTTTGATATTGTATGTACCTTTAATACTGCAGTTACCTTTGGTAATCTCTCCAGACTAGTACAATACAATATCACTTCAAGACTTGAATTCTGATTTAGTAGTCATCTCTCTGCATCTCACTGGGTCTGTTTGTCAGATAAAGTTACTCCGTCTGAAAATTCCCAAAGCAGGAAATTAATAGAACATCTGCCTACTCATCATCCCTTCACTGTACAAAATTCATCTTTATAAGCCTCCCTTCAAAACCAGTGTAATCTGATTATAAGCATCTAATGACGTTTTATCCCCTGAATAGGTTGAACAATACCCTTTTTCTTCTCCAAGTCTGGGCCATGACAAAATTCAGACTGGAAAGAATGAGTCTATAACAAAATTAAAAATCAAAACCCTAAAAAGTCAATTCATATTTTATTAAAAGGCAGGGATGGGGTTCTGCCATCCTGTTGTGGACGTACAATACCCCACTCTGGGTGAAGCCCTGCTTACAGCATCAGGACTTCCCGAGGACGAAGGCACCAGGTAGCCTGAGTCACAGCAACTCAGTCTGACTGAAACTGAAAAATGCATTAGAAATGTAGTAAGTTATTCCTGCAGCCATCTTCTGGAAAGAGTGACTAACTTAGGAATTTCTCAACACTCTGTAATATAATCCAATCATCTGAAATTAATTCATCTGAAATGTCTAGAAATTTTCTGTGCTTCAGAAAAAATGAGCTAAACATTCAGATGCATGCATTTTTCCTTGCCTTCCTTTTCTTTCCTGCATTTCAGTTTGCTTTCCACTCATTTCCTCCTTCTGCCATGCAATATTAGTGAGTTACCTTCGGCTGCTACCTTCTTTCTGAAAAGGTTTCATGAGAAAAGTTTGCAGTGCTACAATTAAGTCAAACCAGTACAGGATCACTTCTGATTTTCAACAAGCTGCCAGCTTTTTTTCTCATCACTTTTTTTCCCCCCTTTGTCCAATTAACAAAAGACAAGTATTTGTTTGATCACTATGGAGAAATACATTTCACTTTGCAATTCATGTGTTTTCATGCATGTGTTTTCTAGAAATCACTCTGCTGAATCAAATTCACATCCGAATGACAATGAGCAATTGCACAGTTATTGAAGAGGAGTTCATTTTCAGTTCATTTTCAGTAACCACTCTGTATATTAAAAACAAAGTCTTTTACTACAAGAGATTTAAAAGAAAAAAAATAATTAGAAATATATTCTGAAAAAAAAAAAATGGTACGGAATATGAATGGAGTCTCCTTCATCATCTTAATAGATCTTTACATGTAGTCTCCAGGGTGGATTTCTCACATTGCAGCTCTGGATGCCTTAATGTAAAACTAACATCGTTACAACAAAGTACTGCCGTTCCTCATTCACTTCTCAGCAGACTCGGCTTTCTCATCGCACTTTCAGGCGTGGATTTGTGCACACTGGACTGCTGAACTACTTCTCTGTCTGTCTCATCTGGCACATCTTGCCTTTCAAATGGGATTGTATCTACAAACTGGCAGAACTGCTCATAAAGCGAATTGCAGAGCACATCAGTAAGATGAAGGGCAGAGCTTATAGCCTTCTGAAAACATTTATTATATATGAACTAACTGCAACTGTTTTCATTCTGGGGAGATGCGGCTAGCAGCACTGTGAAACCTAATTAACTATTTGCTTTACTGATATTGGCTGACAAATACACTTGACAGGGCACAGTTATTTACCAGATTGAAAGAATTGCCTCATTACTTTCCTGCCCTCTGGTTGTTATGCTACAGGAAAGAGATAACACCTACTCTGTAACACTGGATGTTTCAAGAAGACCGAAGTATCCACTCTGATTTACCTTCTCTTTAAATAAAATGGTCTTCATCTTTCTAATCTTTCCTCACACCGAAGGCTCATCATTTTCATCAACAGGCTGTGGAATCCTCTTCAGTTTGCTCTATCTTCCATCACTGAGAGTTACCAAGATAACGTAATATCCACAGGGCAGAAGTCTCATCATTCCCCAATGAGCTATTTAATCTCTTGAATATTACCTCCCATTCTTTTGTTTTCTGTTTATCTTTACAGGCTGAGCAGAGCTTATCCTTCCGGGAATTCTTTCCCCGTGCTAGAGGGGTAATTTGAAACCTGGATCCAGCATAATGCCAGAATGAAGGCTAAGAAACAATTTTTCTGACTGCTATTTGAGTTGTCACGTACACGGAACTGGAGCTCATGTTCTTACAGTTTTCTTGCTCACTCCTAATTGCAACCTATGGGAGGAGCGGTGGGAGTCCCAGGGAAGGATGGAAAGAAAGAAAGATAGATGGAGAGACTTCCCAAAAAAGCCTAAATGGGAAACGTTGCTCGAACTGAAATCAGCAGTAATTTGCTTGAGAAGCAGGAGTTTAGCCTGCTTATTTCCTTCTCTTCAAAGTCAGATGGACAGCCTGGTGTCAAAAAGCTAAGAAAAATGCTGTCACCCTGCCTTTGCCTGGCCCCATCACCCTCCATGCCCACACACACGCAGTGACTGACCGTATGTGAATTATCAGACTGTGGAGTCGCTCAAATGTGACCACCGTTTCCCACAACAAGCTCCTGAAATAAAGAAAATCCATCAGCTCCTTTCACCATGCTTTTCTGCAGGGCAACAACAACAACAACAACAAAAGCCAGAAGTCTTGGCTGCTGTTAGGCAGGCCAGAACGGCGACGTTGTATTTTTTAAGATACAACAAATAACTCTCAAGGAGTTGACTGCAAGCTTTTAAATGTCCTTCTGCATTTGGATTAGAAAAAAAAAAAGTATTTTAAGCACTCTGTGAAGTTTCATTGAAGGTTTGACCATTCACTCTTAACATTGTAAAACTCCCTCTTTAAAATCTGAAGGAAGTTTACTTTCTTCTTTGCCATAAATAATACCTTTTAAAGATTTATGCCTGTGTGGAATGAGTTCAGTATTTGAAGTGAGTAAACACTTGTTCATAATCCGAGAAGTGCCAAACAACAACATATTTCCCCTCAAATTTATTTCTGTTACATAGCATTAGGACTAAGTGAAAAACATCCAGAGGGACTTATTTGCATGACATTTTACTAGACTACCAGTAGATGGAGGAGATTTACATATGCACAGGTGTATATATATATATTTGCTTATCAGGTGAGAAAAGACTAATCAAATACTTTTAATTATTAAAAATAAATAAAAATCAAGGGAGAAGTGATCTATCAAATTTAACAAAGTGTTTAGCTGATGTTCAGAGGTACATTATATCAAAAGTGAATTTCAGGTCATTTTAAGAAGCTTCAATGGAGCAGCAAACCTGCTGCTGATTATCCCCAAACTAACAAAAAAGAGGATTGGAATGTTAAACATAACAAACAAAGCCAAGGATAAATACGAGTTTAGGCAAGGTCATACTAACTAAAATGCAACACTTCCTTGCAAATGTATTTTTCCAGAAAGGGCAACTTCCCTTCTGCAAGGTCTGTAGCTTATTATTCTCTACGATGATTCACACTGCACAATAACATTCCTATTTGAAAAACAGAACCAGTGTAATTTTAAAACAAGCACATATTTCCATCCAGGACACCGTAAGTTCAAGTAGACGAGCTGTTGGAGCCTTTGAAGATCTCTATAGTTGCTTTGTCTGATAATCTACTCGGTTGTCTAGGTTCTCCTTTTCCATTACTGCTGTACCCTTTTGATAGGATACCAATATCCCACCACTGGATCTTTATAAGACTCCCTCCGCAGCCTGTGGTGTATGTTCAGTCCTTGCCAAAGTCAAAAAGCAGGCAATAATAACAACAATAGTACTAATGGAACTATTCAGCTGTGCTGGCAAAGTTTCAAAACTCAGCTTCCCAAATAGTATAGCTTGGGAAGCAGTGATAAGACCCAGGCAGCAAACAGATGCTAAACAAATGGCTCAGGAATGGCAACATGAAGTGACAATTCAAGCTAACTTGAGATTATTTTATCTCTCTGTGCTGTGAAAAATAATACGTCACTGCTGTTATTAGTAAGTGACAGAATGAGGTGCTGTGGTCTCCCATGCAAGAATAAGTAGTTCAGAGAAAACAAATTTGTTGCATTGGACACGTTATTTGCACGGGTTTCTTCCATTTCTTACCAAGGATAGTGTTAATCAGCTAGAGGTTTTGAGTATTCACCAAGCTGAATCCATAGCAGGAAAAAAAAACCAAAAATCAGGCCATGTGCTGTCTGCAAAACAAGCTTTAGTGTGGTTTAGAAACGCTCAGCGTGAAGGAAGACCGTTAGCTCATTCCAAGGACAAGATGGAAAACAGCCTTAAGGTATCTTCAGACACAACCATTAGTTTCACTGAGGACTAAATAAATAATGAGAACATTTCTAAGAAGGTGTCCTGGAAGATTTCTCACACTTGCTGTGCAAAGAAGCTACCAGGAGATAACTATGTGGACCCAGTTCCAGTCTAGTCCCACAGCTACGTTTAGACCTGATACATTACCACTGCACACTTCCCCCTAACAGCTCTGCTTCAAAGACACCCACGTTTAAGAGTGAATCACTTCTAGCTGGAAGAGCGTTCAAACAGCAGTCACTCATTTGCTTGGTCATTCTTTCGCTTTGTGAGACTGGTGGTTAACGTTGCCAAAGAGGTGTCCTTGGAGATGGAAGGTTCTTGCCTTTCCCAATATATTTTTGCCACTATTTCCTCACATTAACTTAGAAGAGCCCTCTGTAAAAAACAGACCATAGCACTGAAGGTAAGTTGGAATAAAATTGTTTTTAAAAACAAATATATAAGCATATATATATATAAAAGTATGTATATATTTAAAGTTAAAATATTTTAAACCTTTGAAGCAGGCAGAACACATCACATCTCCATGTGTTAGCAAGCCAAGATTACTTCTGTGTTTCTTCTTGCATTGCAAAGTCCTCTACAAAGACTTTTAAACATACCCACACAGATGTCTCTATAGCTTGGTTGTTCTGCAAAACACAATTTTTGGCTGTTTTTCAGCCTGAATTTACACTGTGACATTGGTGACAGTCAGTCACCTACACATCCCTATGTTTGAAGTGCCCTCAGCATTCAAGGCAACAAGTTGGTAATGCGAGGCTTAAAGAAGACCCCCACACTTATGAAGGCAGAGGTTATGAGGCTTTGTGAAACAACATGGGATGCCTACATGTCAATAACTACGTCAAGTCCTCTGTCTGAGGACTGTGTCACATTAATTGGTGGAGATGGGAGATATGCTTCCAGACCCTTTGGATTCAATGCACCTAACACATGTGATGCTGGTTCTTCTCATCAAGTAGTAAGTTCTCTACTTCTCAGTGAGTCCAACTCCAATTCAGTTTCACCAGAAAACTAGCAACCTGCATTATTCAAGAGAAATACTCACGGGGTGGGGAAACATGGCTGAACTGAAACAGAGATTATTAAATTCCTGCTACACAGTTATGGCTGTTCAAGTGCCTTCTTCCTCAAAATGTTTGTTAGACATCTTATCAGAAGAGTCGTGCCTAACAGTACAATTAGACTAACTTCGCTGACGTCTTTCCTCTTTCTTTTAATACGAATTCAGTGGCAATTGAAAGACTCAAAAAAGCAGATGTCATTTTTTAGTGTATTAAAAATACATAATTTCTAAATTTTAGTAATTTTCTTTCCAATCAAAAATATAAAATTCTCGTGTTTCTCATTGAGTTCATGCTTTCCTTTATATTCTATACCTGTTCTTCTAGTTGAGATCCTTCTACAGAAACCTATCATATGCTCATAAAACATGATGTTTGGGGAACAAGTCTGCAATTCTGTCAAAGATTTGCTGTAACTGTGTGCATATGATGCTTTGAAGGAAGAAGGAATATCCTAATGACATCCTTTCAAACAACACCTCACCAAAGAAATGTGAATTTGCTCTTATTACAGCAAAACAGTTTTCCAAGAATGGAAGGTTACATACATGCAGACATCTCAAGGAGCGTGTCAGACAATGCTAGTCATTCTTTCCCATTTCCTCCAACACATGCAACTTCACCAGTTACAAGTCCCCCGTCCACTCTCAATATATGGAAATCCAGATGTTACCCATTGAAATGTAAAGCTACAGAGACTGGAGACATTTTTTCCCACCCACACCTTTTTCAGTTGCAACCACTGTGTGCAGGTCTACAGATGCCGTGAAAGGCTTCTCAGAGCTACCCATGTTTCCACCGCTGGATTAATAAGGAGCAACTCACAACTGTCCAGCTCCACATGGCACAGGAGTGCACTTTTTCTAGTGATGTGACCAACTACCTGCAGGTTCCAGACACCACTGAGATTCTGCACCACCACCTGTCATTTTTCAACTGTCCAGAATCAGCCGCAAACCACTTGGGCCCCATCTCCAACTCCAACTCCTGCACAATTCTTCTATGAATGTTTTAATAATGTTTGAGCACTAAAGTGTAATAAAGCTGCAATTCAGAAATATTTTCCTATTTATTCTTTATACTACAATATATAATATATGCCATATATATGTACGTTATATAATAACTACTATATATTTATACCTTCTAAGTGAAGGTTACAGGATAAACGATGATGAAGCAAATACAACTTTAATTATACTTTCCTTCCAAAACGTTTCAGTTCTAAATTCAGATTAGAGCAGTGTCAAGGCTATGCTGAATATAGGGCTGAATACTGCTCTATGTAGAGATAAAAAGATGAGAGCTGATGCTGATTGGCATTGGTCTCCCATTGTTTTTCAAAGCATGGTGCTGGCCTGCTCGTAAGATCACGCAGAAGAATAACTGGGGTGCTGCACTCTCTGTATTCTCACCCAGCTGAGAACAGGAGTGAAATGAAACTGTACTGAATACATGGGTTAGGAGTGCTTGTTACGAAAGCCCTGAGAAAAATGGGAGAGCATCTCTGCCATCACCAAACTTCAAGTTTGATCCCAAAAGAGTCAAAACCTTCACGTATTTGACGATTTTCATCACAAAAAATGCTCTGCTTGAATCTGTTGTGTGGTCAGTTAATTCACACCTCACTTTAAAAAGAGGACAGCTGCATTTATTCTACATATCCTCTCAGCTCCACTCTCACATCTTCAGTTTTCAGGTGTTTAACATGAGTTAGCTTCCTTCCAAGCCCTGAAGCTGAATGATTTCCAGTGCTGTGAATGCTGAGGACAGTGCCCTTCAGGCTTTGAAGGACAAGGCTCACACCTTTGGAAGCTGTAGCACTTGTCAGCCTTCCTACTGCTCACCTTGGTAGCTTTAGGACAGGACAAGAAAGAAATTCATCTAATCCAGCATTTAGAATTTTCTGTTCATCAAAGGGCAGCATTTCTAGAGGTAGGAATGGAGATGCCGATTAGTGGTAACTGCTGTCACTTCAGTCCATGATATCTTGAAGCTCTGTCGATAAACATATTGATGCTCAAGTTCTTCGTGCCTCATGAGCATTAAAATTGATGCAATAGTATGAATCTGAGCAGGTAGTTCTCCGTTTTTTGTTAGTGCAGAAACTAAACAGAAGATGTGTTTGTCATTACAATCTGAAAACATTCACCATATCACCGGGGGGAAAAGAA